CTGCCCACAATCTCTCATTTCTTCCTCACATCATCTTCTCCATGTCACCCTCATCTCGGACTCCCAAATCGTCGTTTCCCATCTGGGTTCCACTCGACTAGCTGGCCTGTCGCGTGATATCCCCGAATGGTCTTCTCAGTGCATGCCCAACCCATCTCCATATCTAATTCCTCAGGCATATTTGTTTAGTGATAGGTTCTTACTTCGTTTGTTCGTTGCCAGCCAGCCAAAGTTCCTTGCCGCTTATTCTCTCTGGTCATCTGATCTTCAGTATCGAGTGAGCGTAGGTTGCAGCTGTTGATGATGAATTTCTGTAGTTTGTTGGAAATGCTTTTCGTAACGCGTCAACTCTCTCAGTCATCACATAGAAGCACTGACTTGTACTTAACTGACATAAGTGTTGAAAATGCGGATGTTGTTCACGCTTTATGCTGAGTGCATTGCAGTGCAGTGCAGAGCAGTGAAGTAGATCCCCACATTGGTTTGAGGTTGATGAAGCAAGGCCTGTCTTGTCTCGATGTCTTTCCGATCCTGACTGGATTTGACGTCCTCGTCTGTGCCTGTGCCTGTGCCGCCGCATGTAGTTGAAACGATGTTGCCTAGGAGGGTGGGTGAAAGAGACTACTTCCTTAAAGTTTCTCCCGTTGATGGTGATTTGAGCTTGTTGTTTTTGTTGTTGTTGGTGGTGGTGGTGATGGTGTTGGTTGGGTATCATCATCACCTCCATCTTCTCTACATTCACTTGAAGTCCCGTCTTCGCTGCCTTGCCCCCTCTATCAACTTGTTGGATTTCGCCTGTCAGTCTTCGAGTTTGTGTCACAAGACATTAGACACAAGTCATCACTGGTGAAATCCAAATCTCCTCTTGGGTTTTTTCATCTGTGAAACAGCGTATGCTCCTCTTCTCGCTCCTCACTGTTGTCTGCTGCATGATCCAGTCCAGTGCACCACAATGAGGAAGGTGATCGGTGATAGTAGGTGGCAGCCTTGTCTTACACCTGTCTTAACTTCAAAGGCAGGGAAAAAGATAGAATTATGATATTTTGGGAACACGTAGTCAATCATTTTGAACTCCTGCCTTTTAAAACATGGAACGAAATAATAAGAAACTCTCTTCTTAAGAATATGAAGCCTAACTAAATTAACTTTTGAGGAGTAAGGAATAGGATATAGTTCATTTGGACAAGGGCTGTAGCACAGTTCTCATGTGTTGCAAAGACTGTTTGGATTAACTCTCATGTGTACTGTCAGATGAAAGTAAGTTTGCGAAAGACGGATGCAACTGAACAAACAGTATAAACCTGACAAAATTTTGGAAGAAGATAAAATACAAATCAGTCATCAGTCCAGAGCTGTTTGAATGACTAAAACACATCTCCAAACACAATCTTGTATGGGTGTCTGAAGGACAGTGTAAAGCCAATAATAGTTGTAATCTCCCTTAGACGATTTATTTATCTCTTTGTTTATTTATGGTAATCCTATCAGAAATTTGTGATGACCTTGAGTTGACCTTTTAGTCGTTATCACCTTGTGACTTTTTTGACCGTTTTTAGTGACTCTGTATTGACCTATTACCTAGTGATGGACATATGTTGTATGATTAAGATTGCACAGGTTCTGAAAATGATTCATCGAAGAGAAAATTTTCTTCTCTGAATTGTCTTTTTATACTGATGATTGAAGGTGAAATGAAAGTTTGGATTGCGGATGGATTCGAACCAGTGACCGTCGGGTTTCCGATCCGATGTTCTACCAACTGAACTATAGGGTCCCGGTAGTCATTGGTTCGAATCTAGCCGTAGTCTAAACTTTCATTTCACCTTCAACAATCACCCAGTAAACTACAGCTATCTCAGATAGTCAAATGTTTCCAAATCGTGATACCTATTAAGTCCAATGAATATTGACACACTCATCTATGCAGACTTTCCTGGATTCTTTTCTTTCTTGATAAGAAAAGGCGTTCACCTTACTAGTCCCTGAACACTGTATGTTTCGACTTTGTGTTAACTTATCAGCTGGTTACAATTATAGATCTTATTTTATTTCAGTAATCTATCCTAATCTGCTTATAACAAGCTTTCAATTGTAAACTTTTGAATGAAGAACTCCTGAAATTCAGTCAAGAAGTTATGAAACTCCATCAACGTCAACATAAATTAAACATGATAGTATACTTGATTACCATTGACACCTGAATCGATTAATAGATGCAACCTAATTAGAAGGCAGAGTTTGAAGTGAATATGTATTTTCGGTAAATTGTTATCAGGCTATACATTTACAAATTATTCACAGCATAGTCTTCATTTGATATCAATATGGTTAAATTAATTCGGGTATATGAATTAGAAGATAACAGTAAAAATGATAATAACAAAACAAGAACGAAATGGAGAATAAGAAATGTTAAGTGTTACGTCACGGTTGAAAATGACTACTGGAAGTGGTATGAATAAAAAAGAAGCGTAAAACTAATAACATGAGAAAATGAATGTTTACCAATATAATAACAATATCAAAGAAAAGGATGGAAGGTTAAAATGTGCAATTTGTGGTAGGAAAGTTCATAAAGAACGTGACGACCCTATTGTAGACCAAGGTTAACAAAGTGGATGTGCATATTTCTTATGAACACATAGGTTCGGTTTTTAGCTGTGGATAAGATACAAAGTCGCGCACCTTTAGGGAGATTGTAAAGGACACGGTATATCACAGAAACGGCGTGATCTACTTTAGTCTGATGTCCGATATCTACTTGATTTGAAAGGATTACACTGCTGATACTTTTTGTCATTCCTTTCCCTAACAAAGAGGCTACATGTTCACGAGTGCGCATGTATACAACCCTTTGAGTACGACCGTAATCTCTATATCGTTATACTATTCACATGATTCGCATCCTATCTGAATAGTACTCGTCATTACATAATTAGCATTTGACCCTTAGTAAACAAACACACACCCAATTAATGTACATAAATGAATCATTATCTGTAGATTTTGTCTCCTCAGTTCGTAATTGTACTGTCAATATTGATTTCCTTACACAACTAACACACTAGACTGATAACCATTCCACCATTCTATTCAATTTGATCTTCATTTACTCATAATACTGACAGTTTCTGAATTGTACATCATACCTTATTTCGGCTATTGTATTTCACTTATTCTCATGGATTTACAACTATAGAGCCTGAAGAAGAAGAAGTTATTGAAAACAATATGGTTCACTCAAATTATTATTCTTCTGAATAAGGCACAATATTTTATTGACTTTGATAATGAGTTACTGATTGAAGATAAGATTTCCTGATAAACTGTTGAACGTGGACAAACTAAAATTGTGAAAGTATGTTAATATTTAGTGACTTGATGGATAGAAGCGCAAAACATTCAAACTCTACAAAATTTCCTTATTACAAAATTTTCTATCCTCAGTAGTAACAACAATTGATTTTGATTGTCAGTGAGAATTTTAAACATCTATCAAGACTTTTAGAGGGTGGATATGATTTGACTATCTAAGATGGCCGTAGTTTGTCAGACTAGTGTTTGTACTAGGTGACGATTGAAGGTGAGATGAAAAGCTGGACCACTGCCAGATTCGAACCAGAGATCACTGGCTTAGCTCCCCAGTGCTCTACCGACCGAGTACAAACACTGGTCTGCCAGACTACAGCTATCTCTGATTCACGTGGTCAAATCGCAATCAATATGATATTCCCCCTGTTTCTCATTCAGTTACATTTGGATTGTGATGAGAAGTCCTGATTGGTGGGAAGCCAGTGTGAATGGGATCAAGCGGTAGTAACGCGTCACAAATTCACTTGGTAGTCGGGGAAAACCATTGGTGATTGAAGTGAAATAAAATTCCGGTGAGCAGTCGGACGTCGAAGGTGAGTTAGCAGAGCACCTGACCGGTAACCCGAAGTTGACTGGTTGGAATCTGGTCGCGATTCAGATTTTCATGTCACCTTCAATCATTACCCATTACAAAGGGTGGATATGATAATCTTTTACACGGATATTGAAATGATGTTGTGCATCATAATGTTAGTTCAGTTGACTAGATAGTTTAACAATTTAATTTCATAGACATTTAAAAATAATGGGAGAGTTTATCTTTTCCACACCAATCAAAACTTTGGAGTGACTTGATTTTTATCTTGTGTGATGATTGAAAGTGAGATGAAAATGTGGACCGCGGTCGGATTGGAACCAGCGACTGCCGGGTTACCAGTCCGGTGCTCTGCTAACTCACCTTCGACGTCCGACTGCTCACCACATTTTTATTTCACTTCAATCACCAATGGTTTTCCCCCGACTATCATGTGAATTTGTGGCGCCTTACTACCGCTTGATCCCATTCACACTGGCTGCCCACCAGTCAGGACTTCTCATCACAATCCAAATGCAGCTGAATGAGAAACAGTGGGAGCATCATACTGATTGCGATTTGACTATGATACTCAGAGATAGCCGTAGTCTGGCAGAATAGTAATTATACTGGGTGATGGTTGAAGGTGAGATTAAAGTTTGAACCGTTGCCGAATTGTACATTATACCCTATTACGGTTATTATATTTCACTGATTCTCATGAATTTATAACTGTAGAGCCTGAAGAAGAAGAAGAAGAAGTGATTGAAAATAATATGGTCCGCCTAAATTATTCTTGTTCTGTATAGAAAGAAATAATTGAAACGGTTCTGATTGAGGATGTAGAATATTATTATGATTGTACACCGTTGTACTTTTGTCTAGTGTTTATTTAGTCTAGAATGTAGTAATGTTCTATTGTCTATTTCTTCATAAATTCTTTTAGCTAATTTTGTCAGTTTCAATTCTAGTGAAGATTGTTTGTTATATCGTTTGCTAATCTATTTCATATACTTAATATCTTCTCTGTTTTTTGTTTTTTTGAAAGAAAAACTGCCGACAACTAATTGAGTAGAAATGATTTTTTTTTTTCATTTTTATCTATCTATTTTAGATCTATTGACTCGTATGCTGAAGATTATGGAAGTGTTTATAATAATCGACCAATTGTTGTCATCTTTTATGTGGCTTATATTATTGTGATAGCATTTTTCATGATTAATATATTTGTTGGTTTCGTTATTGTTACATTTCAACAAGAAGGTGAACAAGAATATCGTAATTGTGAACTTGATAAAAATCAAGTTAGTTATTATCCATTCTCTTTTAATTTGTTGTTGTTAATGATGATGGTGTTAAATATTCTGTATTATATATTCATCTTGTTCAAGAAGAAGAAATGATTCCTTTCGGTCTAAGACTCATTCGTATTGTATATTTCAACGTGGTTAGTTAGAATCTAGATTCTTAAATGTATATATGATGAACAAAATTTCAGCTAGTAGACAGAAATCCCATTTAGGATTGGCTGACTTGGATCATCTGTGGTGCCGACTGGCTGTACTGCAGTCCATTCTATAAGACATGACTGCCTAAAAGTAGATGACATGATCACCGATTTCTTTGTAGCATCGCTCGTGTGTGATGGAATCAGTGTTTGAGCAATGTTAAAGTCAGACGAAAGATACTAGGCAAGACAGGCAGGTTAGTCAGTTGATGAAGTTGTGAATCTTGATCGACTGAGCTGTGCATGTCTAGCGACAAATTACCTCAATATACCATGCTAGGAGAAGATAGACTGGATTAAAAAGGGTTCACGGTGACCGATCAAGACGTGGTATCAGTCCATGAAGTCCCTAACTGTTGGCTTAAGCCATGTTAGGAAATGTAGACTCCCGGGTTGGGGTCTCCAGAACGATAGGAATCTTTGGTTGAGAACTGTTGGTAAAATGGCTGGAAATCGGTCATAATGACGCAGATGTATTCACTTCTTAAAGTCTGATAAAGCTTGAATATTTGCGCTAACCTTTATCTTCGGGTTGTCTACTCTGTCACACTACTTAATCTACTTTTATATCACTCCCTTTCTATCGACCTATTCTTTGCATACTACTGTGAAATGTAGCAACCTGAGCTGATGCACTCCTGTGCGATGTTCTACGTTGGTTTTGTCAGTCAGTCAGTCAGTCATTCAGTTAGCCATTCATAAGATACTCTGTGCTTCTTCTCTGAGGGAATAATTTCCATTTAAAGATTCTACACATGGTTCTCTTCAATTTCCTCGCTTAACATGAATGTTGTAAGTTAAACTTCGACTGAATCGAGAAGTCACTAAGTTCTATCACCTTTGTTTTGCTTTTTTCAACTGTTAATCTAGTGTTTAGTTGTAATTTGCTTAGAAAATTAATTCTTTTTAATTTCTTTAGTAAATTAAAACTAATTTTAGCCATGAAAGGTTAATCATACAGATATTTACTCATAGGTTGATGAAATCACATTACCAGTTAACCAGACTTCGTGAATTTATCTCTTTGAATTTTATCTCATTACCTCATTAAATATGTAATTGCCGTCAGAGATAAAGGAATTGAGTTTAATCGTGTGAATACTCACTAGTAAATGTTTTAAGTTAGGAAAAAAACCTTAGACTTATATCCTGATAGTCCTTCATTTATCTTAACTGAGCAAAAATGACCTTGAAACTAGTCACTTCAAAGATCATTGAGTTAGTGTTGAAAGTTATCGACTCTCAATTTCCTTCCTTATCTGAAATACGGAAAGCATAAGATGTATGCACTGTCCATATGATAACGTCTAATATCCTGTTGTTTAGTTCCTTTAGTTGATCAAACTCATTTAATTCATTTTACACAACAGTAGTTAAGAAACTGGAAAAATTTGAAGCGATCGATTAGCGTATTCAAAGCTGAAAAATGCTTGATAATGCTGCTACTGACTGTAAACTAGTTGATACACGCTTCAATCTCTGATAGGACATCGCTTACTTAAATGCTGTTGATAAATTTTGCTGAAGCATAGCAGTCACCCCAAAAGCTTGTGTCAACTCTAACTACATAACTAAAGATTGAAAGTATTTTCAACGATTTGTTTATATTTAGCTCATAAATATTTTGTATTTATTCAACCTAATTTACAACTGTTAATAAAATATCTTATTCCCCCATCTGTCACTTAGTAATTACACGTGCTTTTAAAATAGTTTCAAAAACAAACTGGAATTATTAAATAAAGTAGCATATAAAAGCCTGTAAAGTGTGTAGCTTTCAAATGAAAAGATTAAATCATTAAAATCTTCCTAGTATAACTAAAAAAGTATTTGGTTATCTGAATAGAACAGAATTGCGTTTATTGTCTGTTTGCATTCCAAATGATTACTGACTTTATTTTACTTATCTGCACAAAACCATCGAGGTACCACCTACCCTGATGTGTATTGCTAGTAGAAGTTGGATGACTAGAAAGATATTTCGAGAATACTCTACAGAATTTTCAGCATGTCATATAACATCAATTGAACAGAGACAGTGTATATGCATACTTTCTTTCTCGCACAGCAAACGACCTAAATGCGGTATTGTAGAGTTTTTATATTTCGTACTACATACATAACGTCTTAAGTACTTGCTACTTGTCCTTCCAGATGATCGACACGGAGCGAGCTTTGAGTGAAGAGGATGCTGGTCGTCTGATAAAATAACCCTTACCAAATGTTTACATGAGTTAATATGTTTATCCACAACTGTTTTAACTAGAAGGTTTAGAAATACACCACTAGTTCTGCTGACAACCTTCAAAGTTCTACACAATATATCACAGTCTTTTTTGAGCAATCCGGGAAAAAACAAAGGGAATCAATACAGGAGAACAGGCAAGATGCAGGAGTTTATAAAACACAAGAGAAGAGTCTAAGTTACAACAAATACTCTCACCTTCCTAATATAGAAATTCAGGCGGAAAATTCTCCTGGAAATCAGTGAGATATGAGAAGACCATGAAATATCCGAAGAAAAACACGCCAAAATAATTCACATTTGTAACATTCTCTAATGCTCAACTACCAGTAGAACATGAATCATGAGAACTAAGCAGTCTACATAGGTTATGTTCACGTCTAAAACTAATTTTATGGTCTGACATTTTGAGGAATTAAGCATAAGACCATTCTCGTAGGACCATCGTCTAACAGTAAATAGGGAGTCATTCAGTTGGGAACAATCTATTGAAAAGAAGATAGGTAAAGGAAACTGTTAGATCATTGGCATATTTAATGAAATCGATACCGGCTGAAGACGGTAGGTCATGCAGAAAGAAAGAGAAAAAACAGAAGGAAAGGATGGCTCCTTGGGGAGTTTCAGCCACAGTAAGCAATAAGGTGGAGCGCTTCCCTCTGTGAACAGTATATTGTTTCCTTTCAGAGAAATACGAACGCAGCCAGCTGATTATCTGGCTGAGGTTTCGAAGATGACACTAATGTGAGGTTCAGGATATCTGATGACACGGCTGAAAATCGATCACAATGACCCAGATGTATTTACACTTTGATGTCTCCTATACCTTTGTCTGCTTTGATATCAGTCTTTTTCTATCCCCTTGTTCTTTGTATACTACTATGAAGTGTAGCAACTTTAAATGATGCAGTAATGTGCGAGGTTGTATGTTGATTTTGTATTTTTCTCTGTTTGACTGATATTGTTTTTGGGTATTTCATGATATCGGCTACTTGTTTAGCACATTCAAACATATTTGAGCTGGTCACAGCTTCAACAGTAGCCAGAACATCAAAAGTAAACTCATTAGGAATAAATTTTAGCTATTCATTCATTTTATTATATCTATTCTTCTTCCAAATTATTCAGATTGTAAAGAATGCACGATAAAACGGCATTCATATTATGATAAGAAATAAGGCGTTATTCATTAGAACAGAAATTAGGTTATTCCAGAAATTATATTCTGAACAATACTAATCAGGCCACGTAGTGCTGTTGTCTACATAAGGTAAACCATCTTAAGTTCTTTGGAAAGAAATTACAAATCAGTGAATGCATCATTTAGATTCCTCTTTAGGTTAGCAGTACTTACTATATGGAATGAATGCTGATTATACAAGTTTAAAAATGCCTTCATTACAGAGTGCAGATTTAAACTGCGTAGTGAATTCAAATAGGAGAAACAAAGGAAACAATGGACTGACCATTTCAAAAATTTCTTGAATCGACCACCACCACCTACAGCTCGTCCAGAAATACCACTAGCAGCACACCCACAGAACTATTAGTGAACAAATACCCTCCAACAAAAGCTGAAGTCCTCAACACCATGAAGTTGATGAAATGCTGGGAAACCAGCAGGACCAGATGAAATTCCACCAGAAGCACTAAAAACACATACAGAGACAACGGCGAACATGATCACATCGCTATTTCAGAAGGATTGCAAAGAAGAAAGGAACGAAAAGTATCTGCAGATTGGTTGGAACAAGGACTAACCTGTTAAACTTTCAAAGGACGGTGACCTAAGTCTTTGCAAGAACTGGCACGGAATCATGCTCCACTCTTATCCACCCAAGCAAAATATTAAGCCGCATCATCTTGGAGAAACTGAAAAATGCTCTAGATTCAAAATACGACCAGAACAGGCCGGCTAGCCTCATGAAGAACAAAATCATGTGCGGACCGAATTGCAGCGCTAGGCATCATCACAGAACAGAGCATAGGATGGCAACCAACTTTCTACCTCAACTTCATCAACTTTGAAAAGGTCTTCGAGAGAGTTGACCGAGAAGTGATTCAGCAGTTGCTTCAACACTACGATTTTAATACCACGAACCTTTATCAACCTCATTTAACAGTTGTATGCTATATGAGGATGCTACATGCCTAGTGATTCACAACACAATAGAAAGCTCAGTGATGCCTTCGAGGTGAAGTGAAGTGAATATAGGAGTAAGATAAGACAAGGTCGCCACCTACTATCACTGATCATCTTCCTGATCGTAGTTAACTCAACTGGTCTGGACCATGCAATGAACTGCGAGGAGCGAGATGATGGGTATTTGCTGGCTGGACCGATGAAAAGACCTAGAAGGAGATTTGGATTTCACCTGTGGTGATTCATGTCTAATGTTTCGCTGCCCAAAATCGAAGATCTACTGGCAAAAACCAACAAGGAGACGAAACTTTAAGTGAATTCAGAGAAGGCAGAGGTGATGAAGATACTCAACCAACAACAACATCAACTAAAAGCACCAATTGCCATCAACGGGAGAAACCTAAACGAAGAT